GTCGGCGCTCCTCGACACGGCGCTGGAGGAGACGCGCAACCTCTCAGGTGAGGGCTGGCCGTCGGGTGGACCCCACGGGCGTCTCCCTGCGCTCCTCCATGCCTTTTTTTTTTTTTTTCTTTTTAAATTCCATCCCCTTTTCCTTCAGAAATTCTCTGCACGAGGTGTCCGGCCGGCTGGCTGCAGTTCGCCAAGACTTGTTATTTCTTCTCCACCACCACCAAACCCTGGCTGGAGGCTAAAGACTTCTGCACCAATTTCAATGCCCATCTGGCCATCATCGACAGTGAGCAGGAAAATGTAAGCTGAGATATCCCGGAAAAAGGGCAAAAATGTCGGATTTCATGAGTTTAGAGGAATATTAGACTCCAGTTCCCCAATTGGGAAGCTGAAGATTGAGCACGGGAGACTCAAGCCGGGGGAAAATGCAACTGGTTCAGGTTCCCACAAGTTTCTTGAGGAGTTTTCAGAGTTCTTGAGGAGTTTTCAGAGTTCTTGAAGAATTTTCATAGTTCTTGAAGAATTTTTAAGGCTCTTTAGAAATTAAGGAAATTATTTAAAACTTACAGAAGTTATTTAGAAATTCTACAAGTTACTGAATAAATTACAGAAATATAACCCAAACTGTCCCCAAATTAGCAATTCTACCCCAATTTAGACAATCCCTGCCTCCCATTCAGGATGGTGCTTTCACTGATCCGGCTTTTAATTGGGTCTGAAATTTTTCATCGGGTCTGAAAAATGTTTCTTCCTCCAGCTCTTAGAAATTCCAGTGCTTTTTTCCATTTCTTGTCGTAAACTTTGCATTTTTTGTCATGCTTGCAGCACATCCCTCTTCTCCTCTTCAAGGGACGAGCTCCTCCACGTCACATGACTACCGGCGCCGCTGAATCCCTTTGCTGTCACCTTCTACTTCACCTCCCGACGCTTCTTTTTTCTTTATTTTTTTCCCCCATTTGCAGAAATTTCTGGCAAATAACATCATGGAGACGCGGGTGTTCTGGCTGGGCCTGACAGATGTGCACAAAGAAAGCGAATGGCAATGGGTGGACGGCCGCTCCCTCTCGCTCTCGTACGTTTTTAGCCTCATCAGAGGATAAATTCCCCAAAAAAATCATCTCTCTTCTTCCTCGGCCCCTTTTTTACTCAAAAAAAGGCGCCACACCCTCATTAGCGCACCCGTCTTAAAAAAGTGCGGAAATAGGTTTCGTGCTGAAAAAAACAGGTGGAGGGAAAGGTAAGAGGAGCCACCCTGCTGCAGGCAAGATTTTGTCTTTTTCCCCCAAATTCACTTTGGTTTTGGGGCTGAAAACCCAACTGGGGAACACCCAAGGAGCTGCAGCGCCCACTTGGTTCCCCCAAAGTTTTGTCGGTTCCCGATGGGATTCCACAGCCCAAGTCAAGGGGGTTATTTCTAACGGATCTCCTCATTCTTGGGATTTTGGGAAGAAAAACCATCACGATCCCAGCAGAGACTTTTTTTTCCGCATTAAACAGGTTCTGGAACCCAGGGGAACCCAACAATGTGGGCGAGCACGGTGAGGACTGTGCCACCATCTACACCACCGGCCGCTGGAACGATGTGAGCTGTTCCGCGCCTGAAGCCTGGATCTGTGAGCGCAGCTGCTAACCGTTTCCCCACCCTGAGCTCCTTGTTCATCTCCCCGGGGCTTAAAAATGGGGGAAAAACCAGTCAAAAACTGGCAAAACCAAGCACAGGGTGAAAACACGAGGTGCCGGGGAAAAGAGGTGGCCCAAAATAGGTACCCAGGAACTCCTTGGGGGGAATTTAGAGATTTTGGGCGTGTGTGAACATTTTGGGAGCTGTTTACTTGTTGCGCTGAGGCTCGACGTAGCGCTTGCCGGTTAATCAGGAAAAAAAACCAAAATAAATGAAGTGCTTTGATTGTGATTTGAACCAAAACTCGCGTCAATCGAGCCAATGTGGCACCGAGAAGGGTCGGCGCACACCTTTTTTCCCAGGGTTTAGGTAGAAAACCCTCCAAAAAAGGGAAGAGAGACCGGTGAAAACAACGACGCGAGAGTGTTTTCGGGGCGCGTATGCAAATCCCTGACTCGCAGGTGCCGAAGCGTGACGCCTGTTTTGCCAAAACTCTGCGCTGCCGGATTCACCGCCCGGCATGGAGGCAGCGGCTCCGCTGGAAGATTTGGGATTTCATTGGCGTGGTGTTTAACACCCGTGGTGCTTTTATCTCTAATCGCTAAAAAAAAAAACCCAAATCCATGCGGGAGCTGCCCTCAAATTCCCTCTGGCAGCAGAGCTCTTCCGGTGTCGCTGTTTCTGTCCCCAAAAACACCCCCCCGGCGTCCCCAAATTCACCGAATCCCCCGCTCCAAAGCAAAGGAGTATTTTCGCCGAGGGAAGAGCATGGTTTCGCCCTCGTTTGGCCGCCCATTTGCATCTTGCCGCCGCTCCGGTGCGGAGAAGGAACCGAAACCTCGAGGCTGAACCACTGGCCAAAATGGGGTGCCGGAGGCGGCGAGGGGTGTGCCGAGGAGCATGCCGAGGGGTTTAGCTCCCCGCTGGGCGCCTGCGCGGCCGTGACTTTCCCCGGCAAAGCCATGGCTCAGCAAGAGACCTACGGCAACTGGTTGGGTCCCCCACCAGTACACTCCAAGAGACTGGTGAGACAAGCAGGTAAAATCGGGGAGAACCCCCTTCTCTGTGTCCTTAGCGTGTCCTTGGCGTGTTTTCAGCACTGGCAGGTCTCTTGGCGAAGCACGGCTGTGTCCGAACGCGCCGGAGGGGTATTGTTGTCGGATGGAGCTGGGCGAAATGCTCAAGAGTTGTGCAGGTACCACTCTGCGCTCAAAAGTCCCTATACCTCCAGGTTTTGCCCCAATTTCAGGTGTAAACTCTACGCCGGGTTTAAAAAAATCATCGACGACTTCCTCGCCGGCAGCCACAGGGTTAGAAGAAGCGCCAGCGGTGGTTTTGAGGAACCTCACGTTATCCTCACCGCTTTTTTCCTTTTTTTTCTTTTTTTGGGCAGGAATTTACTCAGTCGCTGGGAGGATGACACCCATGGGTGACTTCCGACCGGGTAAGTCATCATTTTTTCACCTTTTCAGGCTTTTTTGTAATGCAGATGAAAAGCAGAACTCCCCGAGGTGCCTCCCCGAGGCCGAATGGGGCTTTATTTTCAGCTCAGTTGGCCAAATGTGCCTCGCTATACGCAGTGTTTCTCTCCAAATTCGGTTCCTTCTGTCAAACGAGGTCAAAGAGCTCCAAAAATATCCTGAAAATCCATGATGCTGGGGGATTGAGAGGTAATTTATCGCTCTTATAGCTGATGTTTGCACTTTTGCGGACTCAAATTCATCCCCTACCGCTGCAGAAATCTTCAAACTTCAGAATTTTTTTGAATTTGCATCCGAGGGGGGAACTCTGCTCCAAAAGAGCAGAGTAATGTCATATATAAAAATGAGAAAAAGGTGTAAAAAGCCCGCTGGAGGCGCTGTGGATTTACTGAAGGGGAAAGGGGAGTTGCATTTTTTTTTTACTCTTTCCAAATAATCCAGCTGATCCTTAACGGACAGGACTCCCCGTTGTCCTAAAATCCTGTTTTTCACCCATTTTTTCCTCTCGCATAGCGTCCCCGGACAGCTTCGATGATGACTACGACGACGTCTCCATGTCGGAGTCGGATCGTGGCTGCAAGCCGCCGGCGACCGATGGGGATCTGCAGAGCCAGCGGAGCAAAGGAGGCACCGGTAGCCCCCACCTCCTCTCCCCGCGGCGCCTGGGCGGTTAAGGACCTCTTTGGGGCAGGATTTGGCCCTAAAATGCCCCAAAAATGTCACCCAGCGACTCTTCCCTTCCTCCCAACAGGAGTTTACATCCTGGCGGGCAAACCGGCATCTCCAAATCCTTCCCAAAAGGGTGAGTCGCCCGGGATCACCGCCGCTATCCCGCGCCGGTGGCCACGGCCGGATCTGGACGCGGGAATTGGGGATTTCTCCCCGATTTCTCCTCACCTCCTCCATAGGTGACGCGGAGCCCAGAAGTGGCAGGGGACAGA